ATCTGCTACGGACCCACTAACTCCCACAGTTACCATGACTGTATATCCTCACACCCTGCTTCCTGTAAAGACCCAATTCTGCTCTCCTAGTTTCTCCATCACATCTGTTTATGATGATGCCTACTTCGACAAAGGGACCTCTGAAATATCCACCTTCTTCCTCAACCATAGGTTGACACAGCGTTCAGCCAGGTGAGACCCATCTCCTGCACTTCAATCCTCAACCCCTCTTTTCCCTCCCATGACAGCAATGCAGTCTGTCTTGCCCTCACCTATCATCCCACCAGCATCCACATCCAGAGGATCATTTAGCTGCCATTTCTGCCACCTTCAGCGGGATGCCCACGCCACACACATTCCCTTCCCCTTCCCTCCCTTGTCAGCGTTTTGCAAAGATCGTTCCGTCTGGGACACAGTAGTCTATTCCTCCTTCACTCCCAACACCCTACCAAAGCCCCATGGCCCATCCTGCAACTGCTGAATGTGTAACACCTGCCTGTTTGCTTCCTCTCCCTCAGTATCCAAGGGCCCAAACACAGCTTCCAAGTGAAGCAGCACTTTATCTGTACTTCACTCAATCTAGTCTACCGCGTTTGTTGCTCACAATTGGTCTCCTCCACATTGGGGAAACGAAGCGTAGACTGGTTGACTGGTTTGCAGAACACCTCCTTTCTGTCTGTAAGGAAGACCGAGCTTCCAGTTGCCTGCCACTTGAACACACCATCCTGTTCCCTGGCCAATATCTCTGCCTCAGGCTTGTTGCAGTACTCCAGCAAAGCTCAGTGCAAACTGGAAGAATAGCACATCATTTTCTGATTGGGAATTCTATGGCCTTCTGGACTCGATATTGAGTTTGACAACTTTGGAGCTTGAGGCACCTTTTCCCATGCCCTTACCCCAACCGCCCCACACCATGCCTTGTTATCACGTGGTTTGCTGTTAGTGCCCATTAGTAGCTTGTCATTCTTCTAGGCTGACTGTTATCCACTCTTTTTGTCCAATTGTTCTTCTGTCCTTGGGCACGCTCTCCACCTATCACTTACTCTTTACCCCCTCCCCCACCCTAGCTTCTGCATAAAGTCCAACTTTTTCCCAGCAACTGTCAGTTCTGAGGAAAGCTCACTGCACCTGAAATGTTAACTGACCTCTCCACAGATGCTGCCAGACCTACTGAGCATTTCCAGCAATTTCTATTTTTTGTTGTTGTTTGAAAGGATAACTTTTTTTGAAAGCAAGTAACTTGCCATCCACTGCAGGCATTGTGTAAACTGTTTGAGCAAGCAGTAATTGAAGTTTAAATTGCAAATGATCTGGATTCCAGAGGAGGGGAAAGTAGCTTTTTTTCTTATTAAAACTCATTCTTGGAAATTAACGTACTGGAGCACTCTTCTTGGGTATACCAGACAAGTTGAACTGGTACATATTTATTAGCAAGTTTTACTCTTTATTCTTTTTTTTTTTCTCCAGTCAGTTGGAGGAAGGAGTATACAAATGCAGCTTTTCCAGGCAACAAGAAGTTACTTGATCTATGGACTAGTGACCAATTTAACAATAACAGACCTTTTTTGCCTGCTGAAATCTGTGATTGCATCTCTGGTAACTGAACAGCTTGGACCTGGGAACAAGTTAGAGAAGGAAGTGTTCAGTTCTCCCTACCTCAAGAACAGTCTGTTGTTTTCTGTAGTCAAACTAGCTCTAAACCTGAAGAAAATCAGCTTGCATCTGAGGTCAGAGACTTTGTAATAAGTAAACTGGCCACCTTGTGTTTCTGCCCAAACTGTGGAAGCAACATCTAGAGAAAAATAATTGTAACTGTTTCAGTTGTTTTTTTTTCAATGTGCTGGCCAGTAGAAGAATTATAAAGTTCACATCTGTACATGAAATGATTCAATAGAATTACTTTGAATTAGTAGCGTCTTATGCTGACAGTTTATTGCTGATTACCTGTAGCTGAAGTCAAATTACTTCTGAAATAGAATGCACAGACCAAGAATTACTATCAAAGTCTGAGGGAACTTTGTTTTCTAAAATCGTAACTTTTGTGATGACTCTAGGAATGACTGGGCTTGAGTCATGACAGCCTGGTGTACTGTGCACTTTTGGTCTTTGTATTCAGTGAGGATATACTTGCACTTGAGCCAGTACTGAGAAGGTTCACTAGATTGATCCTTGGGGTGAACAAAGATGAAAACTTGGAGACATCCCCCTCCCTTTGCTATGCCAGCTTCGTATACAAGAGCATTCCTGAGCAAGAAATCCCTGAATATTCTGTCTAGGTAAATCTTGAATTTAGTTGTATCTTCAACTTGCTATATTGCACTTCCTACTCTCTGTGCTGCCTTCTCTAGATTGGGAAGGCCAAATATAGATTGGGTGACTACTTTTGCAGTTCAGAGATAATGCCATCCCAGTACCCTTCCCCCTCCCCATATCTGAAGGGTCCAGACCCAAAATGTCAACTTTTCTGCTCTTCTGCTGCCTGGCATGCTGTGTTCCTCAAGCTTCTCACTGTGTTGTCTCTACTCTGCAGTTCATCCTGTTTAGTCTGCAAGTATGGCCATGAGCTTCTGATAACCACCTGTAATTTTAATTCTGAGACTAACACTCACCCCGACTTCTATGTCCTCTGCCTCCCATACTGTTCTAATGAAGTACAAGACGACTTCAAATTTTGATTTGGCACCACTTCAGCTTTCAGGAATTGACCTGAAATTCAATAACTTCTGAGAACAGCCTTGTACTCTTTAGGCTTTTGGATACGCCATTCCCACCTGCCTTACCATTTGTATTTCCTGTAAACATGCTTTGATTCCTATCTGATTTTGCCGCCTTTCACCTTTTCTCCAACATCGTCGTCTCTTTTTTAAATCATGTTAAATGTTTCTGCCATTGCCCATCACAGATCCTCTTTTCAGCAAAAAGATGGGTGCAGTCTAAGCTTTTCATCTCGTGCTCATCAGAATCAAAGAATAGTAAATGTTCAAGAACAATTTATACTGCTTATTTGTTATCAAGTGGGCTCTGCCTCAGTAGGAGTAGCATATTGTCATGGATAGAAGATTGGCAGCTAATGGGGAGCAGAATAGAGATGCAAGTGTCTTGCAAGGCAGGTTGGAAAGATGTAATAACTGGTGTGCCACAGGGATGAGTGCTAGGACCTCTGTTTGCAGTTTTATGTAAACTTAATCTGAAGAGATGGAAGGATGGCTGCCAAATTTTCTAATCTGTCAGATGATTAAGAAAATAAATTGAATGAGGGTACAAAAATAAAGTGGCTGAAGTGCACAGATGTGGCAAATGAAATATAATGTGGAAAAATGCAAAATTGTCCAATTTAGAAGGAAGAATGACAATCTAAATAGTGAGGTTGTAGAGTCTTGATGTGGAGGGATCTGGTTGTCCTTGTGCATGAATCGCAAAAGCTCAGTCTGTAAGTACAGCTAATTAGGAAAGCTAATAAAATGACCCTGTTTATTACAAGGGAAATTGAGTATACATAGGGAGATAATGCTTCAGTTATAGAACAGACTGGAGAGATTTGCACCTGGTGTACTGTGCACAGTTCCAGTTATTTATATCACTTTCCTGAAAGAAAGTGTGTTTGGAAGTAGTTCAGAGGTTACCAGATTAATACATTTGAAAGGTTGCTTTGAGGAAAGGTTAGACGGTCTGGACTTCTTATCTGCTAGAGTTTCGAAGAGCAAGTGGCAACTCAGTTGAAACATACAGGATTCTGAGGATGCTTGACAGGATGGATATGAAGATGTTTCTTATGGGAGAAGCAAGAACCAGAAGTTGTCATTGGCAACCCCTGATTTTCAAATGTAAAACCTATTGAGCAATGTTTTTCCCCAATGTTGGGTCTCTGGAATCCTTCCTCCAAAGATGTGGAAGTGGAGTCCTTGAATATTTTTAAAACTGGTAGATTTAAGGGGGTTGAAAGTCTATTGGGGGAGGTGCAGATTCAGATTTTGAGGGTGCAAGTGATCAATCATGATCTTAGTGAATGGCAGAGAATTCCCAAGGGGCTGAATAGCTGTCCCTACTCCTCCATGTTCACATGTATGAATATATGGGGTTTCCAACAAGCTTAAATGTGAACACAACTGTTCATTTGCTAAGAGCAAATTACTGCAGATGCAGAAGCTTGTACTGAAAACAAAAAAATGCTGGCAATCAGAAGGTCAGGCAGCAAAAGTAGAGTGTAAGCCAACATTTCGTGTCTAGATGACTCTTCTTCAGAGCTGATGTGGTGTGGAGGGAACAGCATTTATTCAGTAGTTGGAGTGGTGAAGTGCTGGGGGAGAAAGGGTGTTAATAGTTCCGATTAAAGTGACCAGAATGTGAGAATGGCACAACAATGGTGTGTCCAACTGCCAGAACTGAAGGAACAGACAGTCCCATTCCAGTGGGAGGAGGGGAGAGGCCACAGTGACAGAGAATACAACAAATAAAGCTAAAAGAAAATGAGAGAGTTCACAATTTGAAGGTGTTGAACTCCATATTAAGTCCAGAAGGTTGTAAAGATGAAATGTTCCTCCAGTTTGCATTGTGATTCGCTGGCCTGTTACAGCATGTCGAGGATGGACAGGTGGGCATGCAAGCAGGATACTGTGTTAAAATGACTGGCTACAGGCAAGTTGGGCTTCGTGCTTGTGTGGACTGGAGGTGTTCTGTAAAGTGGTCACCCAGTCTGTGTTTAGTTTCTCTAATGTAGAATAGGCCACATTGGGTGTGTTGAATGCAGTAGACCAAATTGGAGGTGGTACAGGTGAAATGCGGCTTCATGCAGGAAGACTTCTGTTTTAAGGCCCTGGAATGGTGAGCAGGGAAGAGATGAAGGGCCATGTGCTGCTCTACTTTTTCTAACTCCAGAAAAGTCACTCGAAACTCTATCCCCTTATGGAATGCTGTGAAAGATGCATTTTAGCACTGAGTTTTGAAGTATTTTTATTCATAGTTTATGTACTTTATAATCAAAAATTGTTTCTTTCTGACAGACTGAATTTAGATAACTGAACCAAATGGTCTGAATGTACCTGCTTTTGAAAATGAAGTTTCTTTGGAACTACACTTCAGTGAAATCCCAGGTTTTTTGAACAGCATATTCCCTCATCCTTCTGAGGTAAGAGTTTTAATTGTATGATGTAGAATGAAAAGAGATTTGTAATTACAAGGTATCAGTTGTCTAATTGTGCAGTGAAAAGCTGGGTGGTTTTCGAACTGCAGTGTCAATCTGAAGATTACACAAGATGTTTCTGAAGTCCTTGGGCAACTTCAAACTTCAGTAAAGATAAAGTACTCATTAGAAGCAGGCTGGCATCCAAAACTCGGTTTTAAAACGTTAGCAGTATTAACGTTGTTGGAGACTTCGGTTTTCTTGGCCACGAGTATTGCCCCACCCCCATGACTAAAGATAGCACATGATACAGCAATAGCAACATTAAAATAACCTTTAATCATGCTTTCTTATGCCATGTGCTATTCTATTGTATTTAATTTTAAGGCTGCAGAAGGACTTTGTAATCTGTATGTTTCTGAAATTGCTTATTTTTAATTCACTTAAAATCTGCCACTATCTGCATGTATTATGCATAAAGCTTTGAGAAAATCGCAGGGTTTACCTGTAACAGATTTACAAGGAATACATTGGGATTATTTAATTTGTTTGTAATGAGTGAAAAGTAACCTTTCACCTTTTGTGGTAATTATTAAAATGTTTGTGCAAGTTTCTAAAATTTGGTGTAACGTTAACCAAGGCTCTTTTAACACTCATTTGAGACAATTCTTCAGAACTGATTTTGTTACAATATATTTCTTGCAGCTAGTGCTTGCACACCTATCTTAATCCAAGGTTTTGCCTTTTGGCCCCCTTGGTTGTTTAATTTATTAGTTGCATTTATGTGCAAACTGTGTTCAGGTATCTGATATTCATCTGTTCTCTCTGGATGTTTGAATGTGTTGACTTTTCGGTTTTTGCTGTGCTGTCTGACTTCTGAGGAAGGGTCCCAACCCAAAACATTAACTTTCCTGCTCCTCTGCTGCCTGGCCTGCTGTGTTCCTCCAGCTCCACATGTTTGCAGCTATTTGGTTTAGTTCCTACCAATATTAAATTAGCTTAAATAAGCAAGGAGCAATAAGGCACTTATTCTGTAATTATGGGACAAGACAAGCAGTTTTGTGTCAAGTTTAAAATTCTTCAAATTTTGCTCCTTTTGTCATGTCTTATTCTAACCTAGCAATTAGGTTAATGCCATTATTTTAAGTGTCATTCTAATTTTGGCTTTTACTTTAAGGTAGAAAGATGTTGGCCACAGACAAAGGAGTGGTTGAGGAGTGGCTTTCAGAGTTTAAGGTACAATTCTCATTATTTTAGTACCAATGTTTAAATAAGTAAATAGTCTAATGTATTTGTCACTATTTTTTTTTCTTAATGTGTAAGTAGCACTGTGTCCACATGTATGAAGTACAGCTTTTCCTGAATGCTGAACTTGGAGAATTTTGGTGTCAAGTGAAGAGGTGCAATATCTTAAGAATAAGAGAGCTGATCTCTAGAGGCATGAATTAAAACTAATTGTTTGATCTATGTAATAACAAGATTCTAAAATGGTGGGGTTGGGGGCTTCTTTCTAAGATCATTTTAGCTGATAGCTTTGACCAGCTGTTTGCAATTTCTGGAGAACCGTGTTAGAAGGAGGTAATGCTAGCAGGAGATCTTACCTTGTTAGATGACCAGCTAAGGAAGACTACAGAGAATTCAAAAAAATTGGTTTTGAATACATTTGTGTAAATGTGCAAAGTATGCTGATTTAATGTTACAAATGCAAGTAGCCATGTGGAAATATGGTTACAGTAGTAAAAATTGAAATAATGTTTCAAAATAGTGAAGATTAGGCACCTAATGTTGAGTAAAGATAGGGAAAGAAAAGGGTATGAGTGCTGATTTAGGGAAGACACTAATGTTGGAAATAGAGGATCTTCATGAGGGTATGTTGAGAAGCAACAAGGGTTTAGTCTGGCTTCCGGTGGGGTGGGGGGGCGACAGGGAGGTAGTTGAGTGAAGAAATTTGTAGGGAATTGAATTGTAAAGAATGGTATAGTGGAGGTATTAATTACCCAAAAAAACTAATAGAAAAGATGAGAGAATTTTAAGTGTACTGGGGAAGTTGACTTCCTTAACCATCATCTCTGTCTAATTCTGAAGAAGATGTGCCAGATCTCATGTTAGAGAATGAAAGCAGGTGGAACAACCGGCTGTAGGAGAATGGTGAATATGGGCAATCATCGTTTCATAACGTTTAGATAAATAATAGAGAAGAACAAGAAACGACCTGAAGTAGAACTTCAGACTTCGAAGTGTGCTAACTTCCAAGGGATGAGAGGCCATTTTATGAAGGTAAAATGAAACCAAGGTTTTAAAGGAATAAATATTTAAGGAGATATTTCAAGTGCATGCTAGGTACATTCCCACAAGGCAGAAATACAGGAGTCAAACCCAGAACTCCTTGCATGAACTAGAGGTAGTGAATATGATGAAACATAAGGTATATTATGGATGAAAGTTGAATTCTTGAAGCACTAACTGGCCATACAAGTTGAAAAGAGAGCGAAGGAAAAATTAAGAAGATCAAACAGAATGAGAATGGCATGCTAGTTAATGCAACTGGATTCCAAAAATCACCTGGTTATCTAAATAGTAAGAAGCGATGTAGTTCCTATTATAGTCCAAGTATAATGTGCACTTAGAGGTTCAGGGCAAGGCTAGAATAGGAGGCTAGGGTACTTTATGTTGGTGCTCACTAAGGAAGAGGAATCTGACAAATTACTAGAAACTGAGGTGGTAGAAATTACCAATAGAGTGAAAATTGATTGGGAGGGTGCACTTCAAAAACTGACTATGCTTGGAGCGAATAGTTTACTTTGTCCAGACAACTTTACTTTCATATCCCCAAACTCTTGATATTGGTATAATAGAGAACAAATTCTTGCTCATATCCTGTATGAGTAACCACTCATTTGAGGTTGTCCTGGTTTCATGTAGTGTGCTGACTATTACTTAACATGATTATTACATCAACTTGAAACTTGTCAGATTACTTCATTTCAAAATTGCTTTAATGCAGTGTTTAGCTTTGCATAATCCTAAGTTTTCTTTTCTTTTCCCACCAATTTACTGAAAATGCATTGTGTTGTGGTGAGTGTTTTTTCCCTTTTTTTAAATAATGACGTCTTTTAAATAATTGACTATGGGAAGGATTTGAAGATAAAGGACAACAGATTAGTAAGAACTGACTTTCACAATAAAGGAATACACCAGCTGAAGAAAGCTGTTGCCTGTGATAATAACTTAAGGCTTTGATTGCTGAATAACTACAATAAGTAGTACATAAATAATCAAGTATTTACTTCCTGCATTGTAATGCCATGCTTTGAATTCAACTAATGTGCAGAATAGGATCTGGCTTAATTTTCCATTTTATAATGGCAGCATTATCAAAAGAGGAATTGCTGGATTGAAGTACTGTTAGAAGGAGAAATTCAGGATCAAAGATGATGTGGGGGCCTACAATTTTTATTGCAGTGGATAACATCAAATGACTTGTGCAGCTTATTTTAAAATCTCCTTTTAAGATAAAGGTTAACCAAAGTTCAAATATATCATACTTCATCACTATCTCTTTGCGGCAAGATTATTCATTCCTAAGGTGCTTCACTTGCTAAATTTCAGCAGTTCTATGATATGTGGTTGGAGTGCGCTAATCCATGTGAGATTTTACTTTTAGGAATTAGCTCCATTACTGGTGATTTTAAAAACAAACATTCCATTGTTGTGTATTCCTGTTGGAACTGCTTTCCCTGGTATTCTGTAAATGTCTTTTTGGATAGTTGTATTTGGCTGTTTGGTTATCTGAAAAACAATACAATTTCCAGGATTGCCTGAGGTATTCATTTTTGAGGGCTGCAATGGCATTGTGACTTCTGGGGGACTACTTAACTTTCGAAGCAGAACTCTTCAATACCACACCTGTCTCTGTGAAATCCTGGTTTTGACACTGATTCACTTTTGATTTGCTCTTAACACGTGTAAGATCTGTCGGAGCACGGCTTATAAGAGGAAATCTGGTGCTGTTATTGCACACCTGTGGTACAAAGCACTCTTGACAATGTTCACCCAGGTCATTTTCTAGAATCCCAACTTCCTAACTTGGTCAATTTTAGAATATAGCTGTTGGTGGGATGGGGGTTGGGTTTATGTTTTGTTTGTTGATGAACATTATTCATCCCTTCTCATGCACCCCCACACGTTGGACAATGTTGGATGCAGGAAGAAGGTGCACGTTCTCGGATATGATTGTCTGGAGAGGGTGTGAACAGTGTTAAGGGCTTGGGGGTTGTTGACTGTTTTGATGGTGGGTGGTGCCAGGAACTGGGGGGAGAGGATGACCATTGAGTCATTGGGGAAATGGCGAGGAAGTGGGCATGTATAAGAAGCTTTTGAGTGTGAACATTGGCAGATGCTGTCTTTGTGAGTCAAGTGGGAACCTGAGATGTTTAGAAACTGCGGTTGAGTAACTGAAGACCGAATTTGGCCCCTCGTGTGTTTTTGTCGAAAGGAGGGATGGTTTCACTGGAACTACGGTTTTGCACAATGCCAGTCCATGTTCTCTGCTCATTGCTGAACTGGTGCTGGCACAGGCTAGTCTAAAGGCTCTAGCATAAAAATAGTAGTGGGCAATTTTAAACTTGGTCCGTGGCATGTGATTCCACACTGCTGACCAGAAGAGCTGGGCTGTCACCTTCATTAGTGCAGGTTTAACATATACTTTTTTAAGCACATTGGAAAAACAGCATGCTGAATTATGAACTGAAAAAGGGTGTTTATTCATGTTATTTTCCCAGATGCAATGTACAGTCGGTGTATTTCACTCTGTTCGGCTCGCACACTTAGCTAGCCACAATTTTTCATTTTGTGCTGTTTTAACCTGCTGCTAAATTTGTTGATCCTCCAAAATCTAGGGTTGGAACCTACATTTATGTGATGGCTGTTAATGTGTTTTTTTTTTTTTATTTTAAACTAATCAGTCTATAGAATGTAACCATGATGTTGTCATTTGCACCAGTCTCTGACATGGAGACAGTTGCACAATATTTCTATAACTAGAACTGGTTCTGAATTTGGTACGGTTGTGGACCAGGTCAATTAGATTCTATTTTGTTTGTTTCTTTTCACTTAAAGCTCAACAAAAATTTAAGCGGTGACCAATATGTACAGTTAACTGTATCGTGCACGGTAGGTTTTTATCTGGATAAATACTGATGAGGTCATAAGAGCTCCCCTACCTTTCTAAGAATACTATTATGGTATGGGATATTTTTGTGTCCTCCTAAGAGTCTAAAAAACAGCAAAGCTGACGATACTGCATACACTTAGTACTACGTTGGGTCTAAAAAGGCCGGTAAACTGGGGAATTTTATGTACTTGATAAAATCTTTAACTTTTGTGATGACTTCATGAGTAGTGGGGCTTGATTTTCAGTGTGCTACCCCAGAGGTATAACGTAACTTTGAACACATCTAGGTTTATCTTTGACTCCTGTTCTAATTAGAACAGACTCAACTTATGTGTTCGTCTGTGCCATTGTCTATTTCCATACTCACTGGCATACAGCACCAGGGCGTCTTATGTTTTAATTCATTTCTTTGTTCCATAAAACCTGGCGAAAGCTTCTCATCCCTCTTTCTGCCTGTGTCACCAGTGCCCTCTGCTTAGTAATGACCTTGCCTTCTGATGCTCTGCATCCACGTACTTCCCTGAAATCACATCTGCAACAGTGGAAATACATGTCTGGGTCAATTGATTGAGTCAAGAACATGATCAGTGATGTAGAATCCCAGTGATGATACAAGGTATACTGTGTACCTATTGTTCTTTTGTCATCTGGCATTTCTTGTGTTCCAGAGTTGAGTTGATGATCCATACTGGTATTCTACATTTTCAGATTTTTATCCTTGAAATAATTCTGGGTTTTAGTACTTTCAAAGTTCTTTAAGAGTTTATTTTAAACCATTTAGTATGAAGTGGGTGATCTGTTGCATTCTACTGCATGGGAACTGGCTCAAACTCTGGATAGACATGACACTGTTCAAGTTGTCTTAGGAAGAAGAAAATTGTTGTTCATAAGTTAATTAAGGGCCTAGATCAAACTAAATTCATGAAGCAGGAAATGTGATGAAGATATATATATATATATATCTCCTTTTCTACTTTTGTATCTTTTCATTCTTCTCTTATCACTTGCTCACTTACACCTTTTTTCTGTTTGTATCTCACCGTACCAGTCTGTTCACTCTTTTTTGTTGTAAATCTCTGGTTTTCCCAATGGGTGCAGAAATGGTTAGTCAGTTAGTTATGGGAAAGGGATTCTTCCTGAAGGTTTTCTGGATCTCTCTGGCTACCTTCCAAAGTGCCCTAATCCTGCACTGCAAATAGTATTTATCTAAACCCACACTTCTGCTCAATGTTGGTATGTTTTGGAATTGAGGAGAAACATTGAATTATGAAATCTTGAAATTAGTGTAGAAGGAAGCACTGTGGTTTAAGGCCTGCAACTCAAAGGAGTGATTTTAACTTGCTTTTTGTATTTCATATTCAATACTTTTGCATTTTAAATGGACCTGTTTGAAAGAAATGCGGGAAAAAGAGAATTTTCCAATCACCAATTGCAGTGTGCAATTTTTTGAGCATTTTATATCCTCTATTGAACATTCACTTGTTTGACTCCTTCAGTTAAATTTCTCTCATTGACATATCTCATTAACTAATATGATTATTAATCCAGAAGCAATTTATATGGTGTTGATTTTTTCTGGATTGTGGTTTATTTGCAATTGCTAATTTGTCTCCATATACAGCTATATTTGTGATCATTAGGCATCTTAGATGCTAGGAAACTAGAACTATATGTAGAGATACTACCAAGTTCTAGCAACCTTGTTTTTAGTAGTGGTCTGTTCAAGTGGAGTGGTGAAACCAGAACGATTTGGATATGGCCACATCCTGTTGTAGCAGTTAGATGGAGCATAATTAACTAACTCTCACTGTTTATGTATTTCTCAAAAAAAATTAAAAGCCTGTTTTTAATACAATTAAAATGGAATCCATTTCACAATATTTGTAATTTTAAAACTGACTTTTTTTACTTTTGATTTTTAGACTCTGCCTGAGACCTCCATATCCAGCTATGCTTCAAGTTTAAAAGGCAAGAGTAGCCTGGTTTCGGAATTATACACAGTCATCTGTGAGCCACATAGTGAGGTAGGAATTAAAAATAAAAATTGATAAGGCTCACTTGCACAACATGCTTTGGATTTTCTGCCATATTCCATGTTTCTTCCAACTGTAAGATTGTTTTCATAAGACTGACTAAAAGTCCTGCTTCTGATCACCATTCTTATTTCCTGTTTAGGCTCGGCATTCATTGTTACTTGTGTATGTCTGAAGTGGCTTTGGATGCTTTACTACGTTAAAGCCACAATATAAATGCAGGTTATGCAGGGCAACTTCCTCATCGTTTAAATTCTGGTTACAAACCTCAAAGTCTTTGGGAATCCATTTCTTCTTTCTTTTTTCTTGTTACATCCAACACAGGCAATCTTGTCACCTCCTTTTCAGTGTGGGCCTTTTTGGTTCTAATTCTGCAAGATCTGCGCATCTTGGCTCTGCCCCCATATCCTGAGCCAAATACCTAGACCCTTTTGGATCTTTCTGTCTTGATTCCTGCTGTTTGTTTGTGTTGGGCCTCCTTCCTTTCTTCACTACTCTGATAAATTGCCTGACCCTTCCTGCTGTGTTTCTAGCTAGACCTTATTCCTAATCTGCATGCTGTCCCTTGGCAGTGTGATACCATTGCATGCTGTGGACTCCACATTCTGATTTCCATCACCCCTTGACTCCTGTCTCTGATGTCAGACTGCCCTGTATCCTGTCAATTGGCCATGCCATTTCTTCGAACATTAGGAATACAAATCAGGAAATATTTCTTTGCTACAAATTCTATTCTTTCCCTTTCCATTATCTTCAATTGAACCAGACTGATGGTACTTTTAGTTCCTTTATCCTCTCATCTCAACACTGAAGGCTTCCATCTCTAATATTGGCTTTCAGTCCTGTCACAGCTGATCTGCTGTGCTTTCCTGGTTGACTTTATCCTCCATGTTCTGTAAACTTCAGCTGGTCTGAAACTCTATTTTATATTCATCAATTCTCCTCAATTCAGTTATCTTTGTTATTTGACTCCCAATCCCCCAGTGTGTCCATTTTAAAGTTTGCCTTCACCTTGCTGTCCTTCATTTGAGATTGTCCAGTCTACCTATTTTGTTTTGAACAAAGCTTTGGTCTTTTCCTCGTAAATTTCTTCTTTTTGTTTTCACTTTTTTGTCTGATTTACATTTCTGAAATGCTTTGGTGTTTTGTTCCAGCTTGAACATCCTATATCAATGCAAATTGTTGGTTCATTACAGCTGGAATGGTTTACGGTTATTCATTTTTATTTTTATTGTTCTACAATCAACTTTAATTTCATGGCCTAACGTATTTCTCCTCTACCATAACCATCTAAAAGTAGGTGACCTTGTCAGTGTGATTTCCAGGAAAACATGTAGATTGAGATTGGTCAAATCTCAGTGAGTTGCCATCCTGGTGAGGTTATAGCACAATATTACACACAAGGTACTGGAAGCAGCATGTGAAAAAGAACTAAACAGTGCCCATTGCCAGTGGATCAGATTAAAGCTCTGCAATTATACCACATTAAGTTGTAAATGATGTACGATTAAACACCAATGGAAGAAGACTTCACAGCACATGAGCACAGAAGACAAATGCCACGTTTGTGATCTCTTTTTGCTGCCTGCTAAGGTCCTCCATGTCATAAATACTGGCCTTCAGCTATTTTGGTTCATTCCAGGCATCATTTGGCTGTGTCTGGCATCAAGGAAGCTTGAGTAAAATTGGCTGGCATAAGGTCAGAAATGGAAATGTTCACTGATTATTGCACAGTGTTCACTGCCACTCTTTACTTCCCAGTCACCGGAGCAGTGTCTCTCTCTCCAAATGCAGCAAGCCCCAGAAAACACGAGGCTTGGACTGAAAAGTTGTAAGTAACGTGCATGCCTCAAGTAACAGGCAATGACCACCTCCATTTCATCTTCATTGGCACTGCCATTGCAGAATTCCTCATCAATATTCTGCAACTTAATTAACCAGAAATTCTTCTAGATGAGGGATATAAATACTGTGACTAAAAAACAAAAGTCACAGCTTTGAATTCTGCGGTGGCTGACTCACCTGACTCCTTAAAGCTTGTCGGCTATCTGTGGGGCGTAAGCCAGGAGTGTGGTACTTGCCTGGATAAGTGTTCAAAGTTCAACGCTGTTCTAGGCTGATTTAGCGTCCCAACCTCGCAACTGTTGTAAAGCGGCAGCAGTGTGTACCAGGGACTAAATGCATTGCAGCACTTGCCAAGACTACTGTGATGTTACCTTCTAAACCTATGATCTCCACTATCTAGAAGGTTTGTGCTTACTAGATGGACTGTAGTATTTGAGACTTTCCCATTCCCAATGGCCCTCAAGGTGGTGGTAACAAATCGGAGACAACATTTTGGCTCCAGTGACCAAAGGGTCACCAGACCTGAAATGTTAACTCTGATTTTCCTTCATGGATGCTGCCAAGTCTGTTGAGTTTTTCCAGCAACTTCTGTTTTTGTTCATAATCTACAAACGGTCTGGTTAGCACTGTTATTTTCCTAAAGCAGTGGAACTTTTAAATATGAGGATGGTCTGCTCTTGTGAGAAAAGTGACCAAGGTAGAACTTGTCATGGTGCTAAATTTGTAAGTAACTGTTCCTCTAAGAAAGCGCCAACTGCTTTACAATAAATGGAGCTTTCAGGATCAACCTCTTAATTGTTTACCAAAGTCAAAGGATGCAAGGATTCTGTAAGATGAATAGGGTGCTAACATAAGTTTAAAAAACTGTGCTGTATTGATTTCATGACTTATGTCCTTGTTATTTCATAAAATTATCTTAACATTTTCTGGAAAAGTTCACATTTTATTTTGACTTTAGTTGCTGGAGCCAGTTTGCCACCAATTGTTTGAATTTTATCGCACTACTGAGGTCGAGCTGAAAAGATTCACGTTACAGTATCTTCCTGAACTTGTGTGGAGTTACCTTTCCGTGATAACAAAAGATATGCACAGTAGTGGCTGCATTGAGGCACTCCTCTTGGGCATCTACAATTTGGTATGTAGTAATAAATATTCTGCCATAATATATTAATTGACAATGCAATTTGTTTTAAGATCTCTGAGCAAGACATAGACATTTAGAAAGTCCTTTTGTTTCTGCCCAATGGATATACTTGTCAAGTTACAACCTATGTAACAGTGGCTCATATATTTAAAACAAAAATCGTTTGGTGTCTGAATTTCTTAAAGCTAAATTTAGACAGTGAACATTCAGTGCAATCCCAAATTGGAAGTAAGTGATGAAATTAACTGCCATCGAAGGAAGCCTGCCACCATTGTTTCCTCCTTTTGAGAAAAGCAGCCACAAATCATTGGAGTGGTTATCAAATTCCTTCTACAAGCGAATGTAGCTTTAACTAAAAGTCGACCTTTACTCCAGGACATCAGAGTCCAGATTGTTGATTCTATAGAGCTGAGAATTTCAGGCAACAATGGACAGAAAATTGCGGGTATGCACGTTCAGCTGCATCAGTATATATAAAATCAACATTGGTTTAAATAATTCAGAGTTCATTTGTGAACCTGTATACAATATTTCAATCGTTGGTGAACTATACAACTTTAAACGGAAAAGGCTTATTGTTTTGTCCACCTGCCCTGCTAAATAAGCCAGCATTTAAGTTATTTAACAATGTTTGTGGTTTACTGTTCCTAAAGTAAAATTGTGTAGTTTTTGTTGGGCAAGGTTAATGTTTAATGATATTAGCATCATTATTAATACTGTTATTGGCATCTACTTAAAATTAAATTCATGGTACAGGAGATGTTTGCAGATTGCAGTCCTGACCAATTCATTGACAAATTGTTCATAGCCTCATGAACATAGTTGATTGCCATGAGTTTCAGGAATTACTGCGTTCTGCATTGTCGAAATGAATTAAATTTATTTTTGAAAATGTAACAGGTAAAATGTGATGGAAATGTGAAGAAATATACAGGAGTGGAACTAAGTTTGCTCCTGTGGAGACCTGGCACAGACTCTTAGGACCAAATGGCTACCTTCTGTGCTTTAACTGTTCTAATTCTGTGAAATACTCAGCAGGTCTAGCTGCATGTCTGAGAAGGTGAACAGCGTTGACATTTCAGCTTGATGACATTTCATGAGAATCTGAATTTGAGAAATGTTTTTAATCCCTAAGCGAATAGCTTGTTTATTTATTATTTGGTTTAGAAAACCAAATTGTTGCCTAAATCAGGATTAAAGCTTTAAATTTTTTTCCAGGAAATTGCTGATAAGGACGGGTGTAGCAAAGTGCAGACTTTTACGATCCCATCTCTTTCAAAACCTTCTGTGTATCATGAGGTAGGATATCTATTTTAATGTGTCCTTCATACATTTTGGTAAATCACAGGCATTTTACTAAAGACACTGGTCACTTGTTTGAAATTACTGAAACATAAACATGAAAATGCTTTCAATTTTAGTAAGCAGAGTTTTTTTGGCATTTTTAAAAGATGTTTGTTTTAAATCAATTGCTTTTGCAAAGCAGAGCTAAATGTAAACCATCTCTTAATGCAGTATTTTGCAACACAAATATGGTGCTGTATAAATAAATGCTGTTAACCTACCGTCCACTTATTATGAGCTTTGTAAAGCAGGGGAGGAACTGGAATAAATACGCCTTCAAACCTTCTGGCAGAGTGCATTAAATTCATCCACGGTGTGTCACTTTATTTCTCTCTCCAGAGAGGAACAAATGCCACTTAAGGTTCATGTCCTGAATGCTAACCACCAAATTCTGGAGATTGCCCAACTGAATAGCCTAATCCTGCTTTCTCCCCGTAACCTTTTGGTCCCATACACCCCAAGTGCTATATCTAGTCCTCTAGTCACCTCTTGAATACATTCAATATTTTGGCATCAACTACTTCCTGTGGTAATGAATTCCACAGGCTCACCACTTTGGCGGATCAGACTCGAATGGCCGCCTCCTATCTTCTAAATTTCTACGATAAACATACATGTTACTATGAGGGTGGTGGTGAGGTGACTGGGGATGATGGCTCCCAAAAAATTCATTGATGTTTGCTGCTTGCTGCCTCAGAGGCCTGACATCAATATATTGTATTCCTCATGCCTGTCCTTTCTGATATAGAAATGACTACATGTTCAAATTTATAGACATTATGATGTTAAATCTGTGCCTATTTACCACTTAAGCCAAACTATTCCTTATGGCCCATAAACTCTCTCTTTTTAATATCAGAGCTAATAATCTGTAAAACATTTTTTACTGTGTTCTTCAATCCTCATCTTAAAATAACTATCTTAAAATTATATAATTATAGGAGGATAAGTAGGCCATTCAACGCATTGTGTGTCTGCTGTGCTGTTCAATGGCTATTCTAATATTCCTCAACTCCACTTTTGTCCTAGCCCCACAGCCTTGATTCACTTGCTGATTTTTAAAAAAAAAAAAAAAAAAAATCTCTCAACCTTGAATATATTTAATGACACAGCCTTGACAACCCCCGGTAAATAATTTCTCAGATTTACTACCATCTGAGAGAAAAGAATTCCTCCTCACCATCTGTCCTAAATGGGTGATCCTTTACTCTGAGATTTTGCCTTCTGATCATAGGTTCTTTCACAAGGGGAAACACTCTACATCTATCCTGTCATGCCTCCCCTAGTAATCATTGTATGCTTCAATAAGGTCTCCTCTCATTCTCGGAAACTCCAATTGCTATAAGCCAAATCTACTCAAAATGTTACCTAACTGCTATCTCTCAACTTCCTTCAAAAATAAGGATTATAATCAATATACTCCTGGATTGAGGTGAAGAAAATACAGAAAATTATTATGTAACTGTTTACTTAATCTAGAAAATAGGAAAAGATCAAATTAAGGAGTTTGAGCATTTTAAAGACTTTATCACAATACAGGTGCATAATGACTTAATTCTGATTATTTTTGAAAAAGTTTCAAGATACCACTGGAGAACATGACGTCCCAGAGTAATACAACTCCTGGTTTGTTTTCCTTCCCAAAACGTTGATTGAGAGCTCATCGACTGGGCTCAAATGACTTTCTTACAATTCCCTGGCATGACATTTTTGTGACAATAAGCTATGCTGCCTTGTTCATGTTCCTGTACAAAATGTTGTTCAAAATATATTTTTTCATGTCCACGTTTTGTTTTTGTATTTTTAATTATCGTTTTTCAAATGGTGCTTTAGCCTTCTAGTTTTGGTTCTATGGCACTTACGGAGGGTGCTTTATCTCGACATGGCTTGACAAAAGTTGTACATAGTGGACCGTACTGTCAAAGGGAAACATTTACAGCACAAAACAGGTCAGATGTTAACTGGACTGTAGCTGTTTGAATTTGTAATATAGTTCTAATAAATAATCAATGTGTTTGTTTTTTTTAAAATTCTGTTCTGAAAATTGAACTACACTTTCATACTTTGAAATTTTATTGGTTTTAAAAAAAATTGAGGTAGTAAATAGACTAAATTGCAGACTGTAGTTTCTTAAAGATCTAATTTCAAAGAATGCTCATTAATTATAATACATATAGTAGTCAGTTGGCATACTCTACCTCGCAACAACCAAATAGCTGAGAATCTGTTTATGAATTCATTTGATGGCAAATTAAATCAATTGGTAACTTCATTTCTTAGCTCAACAATTAACCATGGTCTCAATTATTTGAACTAGTAATGCTCAGTTTCTGTTTTTAACAGTTAGTAAAATTGCTGATGGGTGTACCAAATGATGTCAATCATGATCCAGATAACTGTTGAATGTTAGTTTGGGCCAATGTCACAACTAAGGTGTAGGACTTTAGTCTGGTTTTTTTAATCGCTGTCCATTTATCCTGAACAAGGTAGACGACAAATAGTTTAAGCTTGACACTTTGAGTTAATTGAATGAATGGTAGTTAAAATAACCATTGGTACAGTTACAAATCTGACCTTGATTTTATCTTCATGAAGTACTGAAATGCTGTTTGAAGATTGTGGGGAGGAGCAGAAAAATTGCAAAATAATTGAGTAATTATGTAATGCAAAGTAAATTGGTGTTTTATTGTTTGAAAAAACTGGGTATGGGAAATTTCAAAACTTGTACTTGTGCTTTCTGATGCCCTTTTTTAAAATTAGATTAATTTTCCTCTACTTATTAAACAGGTTTGAAGTGTTGACATTCCTATTTCTCTGTTATAATGCATCAATAATCTACATGCCTTCTCAGTCACTGCGCTCTCTGTGCCATACATGTTCCAGGTGAGATTCAGATGATTCATAACTCTCTCCAAATCATGTTGAGCAATACTATATTTTAAATAAAGTTTTCTTAAGAATTAACAACAAATGCACTTTTGGATTGGTCTGTCCCAGTAATATTGAATGGTAATTTCAAGCCTCCAAAACACGTGGGTTTGGGGTCAGACGTTAAGATCTGAAAAAGGAATCCAAACTAACTATCTTGGAATTTAATGTGGACAGCTGATCAACTTGTTATGAGGAGGCAAGGTGGTCATTAAAATCTTTAAGGAAGGTACATGCTTTCATGTTAGGTGTTTCTATTTTTAATTACTGAAGTGGGTTTTCTTGGGGCCAGAGAAACCTAGCACAAGGAAAAGTTGACTCCATTGGTTAAGTGCCCTTTTTAACAAGACTGTTGGTTTGTAGGCCAGGAGGTGTTGGTGTTTATTCCTGAGACTGACTTTTAAAACTTCTATTTTGTCTAATTGCTCCACAATTTTCTCCTGTGAATGTTGCCCCAACCACCTGCTGCTAACCAAATAAAAACCGAAAGAACTGCAGAAGCTGGAAATCACCCTTCGCTAACCTCTCTGCTCTCTGATTCTTCCCTCATTTGTACCTCCTGATCTTTTGATTTTGATTTGAATCTTCCCGCATGCCTCCTGCCTTCCCTCTTCTCTCTTTCATCTCCCCGCATCCTAACCTTGCTCACTCTTTCTCTCTCTTCGCCTCCTCTTCCCCCACCCTCACGTTTGGCTCAGATTTCTGATCTTCAGGTGCCTCCTGAGCTCTGTTTCTACTGCTGATCATTCTTGCTGTTTTGGCACAACTTTCTATTTTTCGCTTGTCCTTCTCTTGCTTGCACTTGCTTATGAGGAGTGAGCTCCACATTCTCTCTACTTTAAAGAAATTTCTACTGAATTCTTTCTTGAATTTATGGATTCCTCAAGTTCATGGTCACTGATTTTGCATTCTCCAGAAGTGGAAACATCTACCACTTCCAACCGAATATAATTTTCGGAGGACTGTATGAGGTCACATCTCTTGTTTTCGAGAGAAACTCTCCTCAGTCTGTACAATAATTTTAAAGTTTTATCCGTACAAGTTCTGACATCGTTCAAGTAAACATTATTCATTTTTTGAGTTTGTTTTTGTGAAATAGGTACTGTATGCAGTTCTAGTTTCCAAGTGTAGTCCAACCAAACTTCAATATGCTTAACCTGGTTTTTGAATTCTATTTACCTAGAAATGCACCCCAATATGTTTATAATTTTTGTGGTGGTGTTAACCTGCAAAGGTACACTAATGGTATTTGTATGCCCCAAAATCTCTTTATTTGCTCCCTTTCAATTTGCAGTTTTTTATTTTCCAGGAAGTGTGACCTGCCAATTCCTCTGAACAAAGTACACAATCTCAGTTGTGTTCTTATTGAATTTTATTTGCCATATGTGTCCATTTTGCATGTCTGATCAAGTTGTCTTGAACTTACTAATGAAGTTATGCATTCATAGAGCCATACGGTCCTGAAGAGACCCTTCAGCCCGTCGAGTCTGCTCCGACCAATAACTACTCTTGTATCTATACTACTACATTCCAGCATTTGGCCCATAGCCTTGAATGTTGTGACACTGCAAGTGCTCTTCCAAGTACTTTTTAAAGATTTGAGGTTTACCACTTCAACTACTCTCCCAGGCAGGGCATTCCATAAGAGATCAGAGCAGAATTGGGCCATTTGGCATATCAAGTCTGCTTAGCTGTTCGATCATGGCTGATCTTTCTCAACTGTGTTCTCCTCCTGCCTTCTCCTCATAACTTATCTATCTTTGTCTCAAATAAACTCAATGACGACCTCCACAGCCTTCTGCAGCAATGAGTTTCTTCTGGCTGAAGAAATTCTTCCTTATCACAGTTCTGAAGAATCGTTCCTTCATTCAGTGTGTGCCCTCCAGGTCCTAGTCACCTAGTCCAAACATCTTCACTTCCATTCTATCCAAGCCTGTTGGTATTCTGTAAATTACAATGAGATCTTCCCTTATCCTTCTAAACTCTATCGAGAACAGACCCTGAGGCCTCATCTGCCCCTCGTGACAAGCTGCTCATCCATGGGAACATTTATTGCAAACCTCTGGATTTTCTCCAGTGCTGCTGACCAGAGACTTGTACAGTCTTAGCAGTATGTCTTTGTTCTTGTATTCTACCCGTCTCAAAATATAGGCTAACATTGCAATTTTCTTCAACTGTTAACTGAACCTGTATGCTAACATTAAGAGAATCCTGAATGAGGACTCGCAAGTCTCCTTGTGCTTCAGATTCTGAAGCCTTTCCACATTTTGAAACTAGTGCATGCGTCTGCTCTTCCTACTAAAGTGCATAATCTCACTTTTTCCCTTTTTTCAGATTCCTGCCACCATCTGGATGAAAAGACTCCACCTCAAATCCTCTTTCAACCCTCTGCCTTTCACCTTCTTCAAATTATCTCCCCTAGTTATTGTCTGTTCAACTTGGGGAAACAGCTGCTTCTATCCAGTTGTCCTTGCCCATCATAATCATGTACACCTCAGTCAGGTCCCCTTTTCAGCCTTCTCTGCTCTGAAGAAAACAACCTGAAAGTATCCAGCCTCTTTACCTGGGATGGAACAGTTTAGTTGCAATGTCCTATTGAATCTCCTTTTCACCCCTTCCAGTACAGTTGCATCCTTCCTGTCGTGTGATGACCAGAGCTGCATGCCATTACTCCAGCTGTGGTCTGACCAAAGTTCTGTAGAGCTCCAACATAATTTCCCTGCTCCTATAATCTATGCAATGACTGATTCAAAGGCAAGTGTCCTATATGCTGCCTTATAACTACCCTATAACTCCAGTGGATATAAGCCTGGCCTACCCAACCGTTCTTTAAGACAATCTGTACATTTCAGATACTAGTATAGTAAACTTTCTCTGAACTGCTTCCAGCATTTACATCCTCCTTTACTGTGTACAATCTTCATTGCATTGAGGCGTCAGCTACAATAAATAATGTGCTGTCTAACTGAAGTATAACCGGTCTCCTTGTGTATTCAATTGCCCCCTCAGTTAATGATAACATTAGCTTGCCTAATTTCTTGCTGAGGACTAGATGCAAGTACAGCAGTTTGAAATGTTGGGATACCCAGTTCCCTCTGCATTTTGGAGACTGAGGAGCTGTTACCATTTAGATAAGATGCTGCTTTTCTTTCTGTTTAAAACACAATTTTCTCAATTTCCTACACTTGTACCCCATTTGCCAGATCTTTATGCACTCACTGAAACAATGTATATCTCTTTTGTAATCTGCTTGTGTCCCTTCCACAAGTTGCTTTTCTACCTATCTTTGTGGCATCTGCAAATTTGGCATCAATCCCTGCAATAAAAAAAAATCTCCCCTGTCCCTTTATTCGAAGTCATTTGTATGAATTGTAATAAATCATGTCCCAAAAGGGATCAGTGGTGGTGCCTCAACTTTTAGATCTTGCCAAGCTGAAAAAGGCCCATTTTATGCTTGCTTTCCAATTAACCAGCCAATCTTCTGTCCATGCCATTCCTATATTATGATCCTTTATTTTCCATAACCTTCTGACGTGGCACCTTACTAAATGTCTTTTCAGAAGAGTGTAGAACATCTGCCAGTTCTTCTTTCCCATAGCATGTTGCTACTTCAAATAATTCCGTTAAATTGTTTAAAACCTTTTCACCATTTGTGGAGCTATTCATTTGTTATCATAAAACTGCAGCTGTTCAGTCTTTACTGAAATGTATTTAGTGATTCCTGAGATTCTGGACAGTTCCCAGCAGATTGGAAAGCAATAAACAGAACACTTCTAATTGAGAGAGAATAGAAATGGAAGGGAGGAACCGACAAGTCAGTTTTTCATAGAATTTCATAGAATCCCTACAGTTTGGAAACAGGCCCTTCAGCCCAACAAGTCCACCGACTCTTGAAGCATCCCATTCCCCATAACCCATCTAATCTACACATCCCTGAACACTACGGGCAAGTTAGCATGGCCAATCCACCTAGCCTGCACACCTTTGGACTGTGGGAGGAAACATCTGCCAACCACTGCTGTCTGTTTTCTCACTTCCTGGTTGGCAGACTAATGGAGAGTTCTAGAGATTCATTCTGGAGCCTCAACTGTTTATGATCTATGTTGTTGTGTTATGTACCAGACCATGCCCCCTCAAAATATTTCAAGGAGATGGCCTATTCCCTAACTTTTTCATCTTACTTAAATGCAAATATAGGCTGTATTCCAGATTTGGTTGGTCAAACTACTAGGCTTTAAGCAAAACACAATTTATTCTTACAACACAGTTAAGATACAAAGAAAAGAATTGGCATAAACTTTAACTCTACTGAAATACTTAATAATATTACTTAACTCCTAATCATCAACTGTTTCAATACAGCAGCATTCCTTAAACACACCCTTAACAAGGCAATTTAGCAAAACCGTTTCAATCTCAAGTGCTGTCTCCTCAATCCTAGTGGCAAAGGAGCCCTAGCAAAGCTGAAGTCAGTGGGGTTGGGTCCTGGTGAAAGCTCCCTATTCTTTGCCTTTGTACTAGATACAACTCCAATGTGTGCAGTTGTTCGGTGGTCATATCTCCAACCCAGGACATCACTGGAGTTCCTCAGTTGTGTCTTGGACGTAGTCATTTTCAGCTGCTTTGTCAGTGATGTACCCTTCATTACACATCACCACTTCTTGTATACAATGATCAGCAAATAATGTTGAGCACCATTCGTGACTCTTTCAATACTGAAGAAGTACTTGCATCCATATGCACCAAGCCTGGACTATTAAGTGGCAAGTGATATTTGTGCTTCATAATAGTCAGACAATGCTTATCTCCAGCTAGAAAATCTAGTGGTCTTCCTTTGTTTACTGTTATCATCACTTGAATTCCCCATTCTCTACATGCTAGGGTTATCATTGACCAGAAACGGAACTGGAGCGGTCATAAAGATACTGCAGCTACAAGAGCAGGTCAGAAGCTAGGAATCCTGTATTACGTGATTTGCCTCCTGACTCTCCAAAGCCTGTCTCTTCTATACCAAAGCGCACATTAGGAATGTGATGGAATAGCACAGTAGGTAGTGATGTAGTGGAAATGTCACTGATCTAATAATCCAGAACTCCAGCTATTGTCCTGGGGACATGGCTTCAGATTCTCCTGTAGCAGATGGTAAAATTTGAATGCAACAAAAAAATCTGAAGGTTAGTCTAATGGCAAATGTGTAACAACTTCAATTGTCAGAGATTTATCAGGTTCAATAATTTCTATTATGAAAGGAAATCTGCCATCCTTGCCTGATCTGATTGACATGAGACTTCAGACCCGCAGGAATCTAGTGGACTCTGAACACTTATAGGATGGGCTGTAAATGCTGGCCTAGCCAGAAACACCTGTATCTGTGAATGACACTCCACTTCCTGGATGGGTGAAGCTCCAATAGCACTAATTCCAAAAGCTTGACACTATCCAGGACAAAGCAGTCTACTTGGTTAGTACCCTATGCCACCTTCAACATTGCATTGATGGTGAAGGGAGTCAATGTGTGTGCCATCTACAGCGTACACTGCAGTAATCAGCAACGATATGAGAACACTACCTGCAAGATTTCCAAATTGCACAGCATCCTGCCTTGGAATTGCATTGACTTCCCTTCATTGTTTCTTGGAACTCTGTCCTTTAACAGTATCATGGGTATCTTTACACTCCAAGAACTGTAGGGGTTTAAGAAGGCAGCTCACCAACTTCTCCAGAACACAACAACCACTGAGAATGTCCCATTAGCCTCTGTTTCCTAGGAAACAATCTGTGCCATCCCCAATTAAGTAATAAAAGTGTGGAGCTGGGGAAACTCAGCAGGCCAGGCAGTCCCAGAGGAATGGGAAAGCTGATGTTTCGGGTCGGGACCCTTCCTTAGAAAATAAGGGTCTGAAGAAGAGTCCTGACCTGAAAAGTCCGCTTTCCTATTCCTCTGATACTGCCTGGCCTGCTGTGTTTCCCCAGCTCCATACTGTTATCTCTGACTCCACCATCTGCGGTTCTTGCTATCCCAGTTAAATGATGTCTTGATCTTAAGAGCAAGCATTTAGCTTGGCTCGTATCTTTGACAAATAGCTCTTCAGAGTTGTTGAGGGTGTGCATTTTGTCTAGCATGCTGAAAAATAGTTAATTATCATACTGCTGTTTCTGACTTCAGAGCTTTCATTGATTATATATTTTAATCCTGTTGAGTTGCAATGGCGTCATAATATGGTTAGTTACACTGAACTAGAGTTAGTAATGTTGTTAATACATGACTACAGTGACAGTGAATGATCCACCTAATGAATATAAAGGCAATGAAGTCAGACAAATTACAAATTACTAAGCATCGCTGAGTTGAATTTGCATATTTTTAAGACTCAAATTGTCACCAAGGATTTGAGACAGCCAGTGTTGTTTTCTTACATTATCTGATGGTTCAGTGAATTATATGAAGTTTATTTTTGTATCATTGTCACGACTGCTTTATCCACAACTTCCAAGTTGTACAGACTGGATTTTTTAATTACTCTGAATACCCATGTTCCAGTGACCATTAATATTTTAGGTTTCATTTAATTTTGTTCATCTTTTGTAGAGGAAGGGGATGGGAGATTTTAAAAGTTGCATTGTGAATTTCTGGCTCTTAAATTTAAAAACATTTAAAATTTTGTACATATTTTCACTTTCAGAATATGTGTTAGTGGATTTCCAAGGAGGTTGCAGAAGAAATACACTGATGTTGAAAGCAGAATACCTGTCTCTGCTGAATTTATGGTACACATGTTAACAGCTATTTATTATGCTATGTAAGTATAAATATCCTTTTAATATTTTGAGTTGCTTCATTAGCTGTTTCAATCAATTTACTAGAAGCCCTCACAATTGAACAGTTATTTCTCCACCAGGTAGTTATCTAAAACATCAACAGAACCAACCACAGCACTGTTCCAGAGATGGACCACTTTGCACACCGTTATTAGTTTATTTGTCACTGCAAATAGATGGAGTTCAGGGGCTTTCATTCAGAATTTCAGTCTGAAGATCTACCAGAAGTGCTTTCTACTTTGAATAATTTCCAGTACATTCTCACTATTTCCAAAAATTACGTACAAGTTATATGATACCACAATGTGGCTGCTTTGGCATGGCATGCATTTTAATGTTTTTTTATACTTCAGGTATAATGGAGAATGGGACTTGGCTTGCAAAGCATTGGATGATCTATTGTACAGAGCCCAGTTGGAGATGTTTGCAGAACCCTTACTGGTAAGTAGTCATTTGACCCTGCAACTTAAATGAGTGACGTGATATTAGACATTTTTTCGTGAAATACTGGAATTTGTTACTACTCTTGGGACTTGATGAATAATCTGAAATTTTATAGATCTTTATTTCCCTTTTTCTATGCAAAGATTATTGTGGATGAGTTTCTTTTGAGTACATGATGTGAAAGGGGAAGCATATTGACTGTAAAATCTTGTTCTTTAAAGAATTAATATCTTATGACCTTTCCTCCTCAAGAAATGGGTTATAAATATTCTCTGAAATTGTCATATTGCCCAACCACTCCTCCTTCCTCCTACACCATGCAATAATAAATTAATTAGTTGTCAGTCTTGTACCGTGAGCTTCTCATGTATTAGAGCTCTCACCAGAGGACTGGTTCTTTTGAAAGTCTGAGGGGAAGTGTTGAAGTCGAATGATAAATTAATTATCTTGAATTAATATCATAACCAGGGTAAGAAGATTTCTCCTTCATGACTTCGAGTAGACTGCCAAATAAAACAGAATGAGAACTTTTGTAATCTTTCCAGTCAAATGTTCATTAGATTGAAGACCCTATTTTGGAGCAAATCCAAATTGACAACATTTTTCATGGTGACAAACCTAGGAAATCTCTTTATAGTCACACCTTATTAGCATTCCTTAATAATTTAAGCACTGAGTTTTACAGGTATCCGCAAGTTTACCTTGCAGATTAAAGCTCTAGGTTTATAATAAAATGATATTTGCATTGTACAATAATGGTACATTGCGATGTTGAGGTTCCAATTTTCTTCAGATAATTTACTTGCCAAGCTCAGTTACTTTCCTAATTTGCAACTGAATTGTTAAGCTGCCTTGGAAAGCAACGTTCTCTTAAGAAATCCAAATAGAGGTACACAGTTTACAAGAACTAAAATTGTTACTATATATGTTTCACTGGCAATTTATTTTCAATTTCTAGTTGCCCTGAGACAGTCATAGTGGATCACTTCCTTTGAAGTAAATTGAGACAACTGATTCAATTCACATCAGCTGGCATTTTGTGTGAGGTGCTATGGTAGTGGATCATGTGCAAGTTAGAACAGTTAAGGTCCATTTTAAGCTCCAAACTGTCACCGGTCAAAGAATTTCACGTTACTTTATAGTGTAAGCACGACTTGGGTTGTCATCTGCTGTTAACAGTTGGCATCTTACCTGTGCATTTCTGGTTGCTTTCTTTGCTATGATATCTGACCTGACTTTGACTAATTATTTATTAATAATTATTATTGAACATATGAAGCAAAAAGTAGAGAATCTTAAGTGTGCACCAATTTTAACTATCTGAACAATACTTTGTATACACAATTTATAATTCAAAGCAGCTTTTGCCAACTAACAATCTAAATATTATTATCTTGGTCATTTGTCGCCAAACTTAAAACGTCCAGCATCTTTCAAATCTGGCTTGAAACAATTCTCTGTACAGCTGCACAAATAAATTATAATACTTGCACTTAACATCTTGTTAGATTTTATGTACTTCAAAGCACTTGCGTGTTCAATTCCATTGTGGGAAAACAATTCCTTTAAGTTGAAAGATCAATTATTGAAACTGGCTGGTGAAGAAATGTGGGCCAGACCCAAATGAGAAGCCTTTGTTGTGAATCAGCCAGGGATCTGTAACATTCTGTCGTTTCTTTAGTGAGTGAAGGGGTGAACCGTTACAACCAAGATGAGAACCTTCTTCAGTCAGAAGGTGGTAAACCTGTGGAACGCATTGCTGCAGAGGGCTGTGGAGGCCAAGTCATTGAGTATATTTAAAACAGATACGGCAGCTAGTCTCCAGGCAGAACCAGAGTTTAAGTTTTTTTTTTTCAGACTGTTTTCTGGGTGAACAGTTTGGCTGCTGATGACACAGCGCAAACAATTGAAATCTCCCTTTATCAGCTTTCGGAAGCCCAAAGAGTGAAAATCTGAGGTAGAAGCATTGCTGCCTGTACCTCATTGAACTGAAAATGTGACACTGATCTGTCTCCAGAAAAGCAACCAAGGAGTCAACATCTATACCTGTGAAACAATGCACTGAGAACCATTTGAGTGATCTATCCAGTATTTGTTTTTTTTAAACTTTCTTTTTTTTTTGTCCCTTTTTTAGCTATGTTTGTCTAACTTTTGAATGGGGACTGAGAACTTTGGGTTTAAAGCGTAGACATTAATTAGCTCGCTCACTTGACATTTTGCAAAGTTATTGTATATTTTAATTAGGTCTTCTGATTGAGACAAAACCAGTGTCTGGAATTAATTATTCAGAGTCTAGTTAGGAACTATTGGGGATCTTTGGTTCTGATTTTACTGTGTTGTGAAAACAAAAAGGCTGGTTTGATTTGTTGTCTGTCTCCATCTCATAACACAAACCAGCAGGATAAAACTTTCATTGTATATTGGATGTTTTAGCTTAATTGACCTGCATCTTGAATGAATAAAATGTACGCCCATCTATAAAGCCACACTTTGTACTTTTACTGAACATAACTGTAAGTTTCTTTTGAAGCACTTAACCCATCTTTCAATTACTTAAGAATGCCCATTCTGCTAAGATCCCCTCTTTGGTTTTCTAGAAGTGCAGGACAAAATGACCTGTTCAGATATATCACATTTGTTGCAGGAATGATACGTTCAGCTTAATAGAATAGAGCTGTAAGATTTGGACAGCATTCATGTCAATGGATAATTTTACCCACCTCAAATTGAATTTGACCAGAAACAATTACATTGATTTAAATTATCATCAGAACTAACTTGTAAGATCTTGTCATTAAAATTAATCACTGGTGATATAACACAGAATAGCAAATTACTATTCAATACAGTACAAAGAACTTTGCTAGGAGTAAGCCCTCAGGCCTGATGAGCCTGCTGTGCCATTCACCTAGATCAGTTTATTCTTTTTTGTACTTCTTAAAAGTGCATCTATTGCAATATTGTACACATTCATTGCCTTCAACTTGAGGGTGGAGAATCCCATAGATGCACAATCATTTAGGAAAAGTAAATCCTCTTTATACCCACAAAATTGGAGACCACTTTTTAAACACTATCCCCGGTTCTAGATTCTGACAGTAAAGGCAGCATCCTCCTGGCATGTCGAGCACTGTCAAGCCTCCTCCGAATCTTGTTTCAATAAGATTCATTCAGTAATTCTTCTAAACTCCAATGCTCAGCCCCAACCTGCTTAACCTTTTTCCTCATAAGACAAGCCCTTTCATTCTAGGAATCCACCTCGTGAATCTTCTCTTTAAACTGCTTCCAATGCCAAAATATTCACCACTGAAGTAAGGGATCGAAAACATACAGAATACTCTAGATGTGGTTTCATAAGCATGCTGAATAGTTTTAGCAAGACCTGCCACTTTTACTCCATCCCTCTTGTCATTAAGGACAATATTCCATTTTGCTTTGCACATAGAGGAAAAAATAGCAGTGCTAGAATTTGTGATTCATGCACGAAAATACTAAAATCCTCTGGACTTCATTCTGCAGTCTGTCTATTGAAATAGAAAGAATAGGAAAGCAATCTGCCATTTTCCTACATGATGCACAGTCTTTTTTTTGTTTTTTAAACCCATTCATTTTCACATCACTTTCTAGACAGTTTGGATTTTGAAAATGGCCCAGGAATTTGAAATCAGAAATTCCAAGCCCTGAACTCACATGTAAACCGTGTTCTTGTGACACTGGTTTTTAAATGTAAACAGACTTTTTTTTACAAGAGAAAAGCTTGATGCCCAGTTTGAGGTGCAAAAGGTCTCCAGGTGGAAAAGCTGCCTACCTGATGCCAGTAGCAAATGGCAACCATTATGGGGGCTGTCATCTCTTTTCTGAAGAGAGCAGGATAGAGAGTACAAAGCTTGACCCTAGATATAGCTGATCTTGCTAATTTCACAGATATAGAAATTTGCTTGCTTTTCCCCAAGTGGTGATGCTGAGCACTCACCAGATTATTTGGCTTAATTCAAAAATATTGTTTTTTGTTTAAAGTTCTGGGAAAGTCCCCTTGCAAACCCCTCAAAATGAGCATTTAATACTAGATAGAGGGTTGCTTATTGCTTCCTTCCCTTATTGCAGGCTCTTTGAATTCACAAAATAATATCCTGGAGGCCGTGGGCTGACTTCTGGAGTGAAAGTTGAAAACCCATTCCTTTGTGTCCTCCCACACAAGTTGCTTTCTAATTTTTTTTTTATTTTGTTTTGTTTGTATCAATGTTTTGGTTATGATATGCTTGGTCCCTTGTCCAAGTCATGAATATAGATTATAAATAATTGAGGCCCCAGCACGGATCACTGCCACAATCTACTTGCAGTTTGTAAACTTGAAAATATCTATTTGTCCAAGACCCCTTTTCTATGGATTAGTCAGTTTGTATTACCTGATTGTGCTGACAAGTTACCTCCAACACAGGCTCTTATCTTCTAAGTAGTAACCACTTTTATATGGCAACTGATCGCATGTCTTTCTGGAAATCTAAATACACTGCATCTCTTTATCCTTCCTGCTTCTACTATCCTCAAATTCTAATTTTGTTAAAAGCACATTGACTCTGCTTGCTTGCTTGCTTTGGGTTTTCTAAATGGTCTGCTTCCTCAAATATAGATTTCAGTTTTTGGCTCCAATGAGGCTGTCAACTAAGTGGTCTCTAATTTCCTAATTTGTTGCTTCCCCCTTTCTTAAAAGGAGCATTACATTTGCAGTTTTCTAATCTGGGGATTTCCAGAATCTAGAGTTTTAGAATATTGCAAGCAAAATGTCTACTATGTCTGCAACTTTAAGATCCTAGGGTTCAACCCATTGAGTCCAGAGGACTTGGCAGCTATTAGTCTTATTTAGTTTTTCTGATACTTTTCTCTAGCAATCATGGTTGTTATATTCCCTGCCTCCTTTTGACCCGTTTTTTACAAGTTTTATTGAAATGCTTTTGTCTTCTACTACTGTGAAGTTACACGCAAAATGGTGTTCAAAATGTCTACTGTTCTCTTGTTCCCCAGTGCTAATTCCCTGGCCTCAGTTCTGAGGGACCAATTTTAACTTCAGCTATTCACTTTTAAATATATTCTTGAAGTTCTTGCAGCCTGCTTTTTTTCTTTTTTGGTCCCTTAATTACTTTTGGTCATCCATGGCTGATTTCTGAGAACTTGCCCCAATTCTCAAACCTACTAATCCTTGCAGCATTGTATGCTTTTTCTCTCAAATTGATGCCACCCCTAACTTAATTAGCTACAGTGCATCATTCTTGTAAAATCTTTCTTGTGCAATTTATAATTCTTAAAGATTACTGTTATCTTACTGAATTTCAACTACTGCTTTGCTACCGCCTTGCCTTTTTCCCCCCAGAGTGCTGCAGACAGTCTAACTGTCTTAGATTTAGATCATGGTTTAAGACCAGTTTTTCAGAGCCCAAATTTCTCCCGTTCAAACTAAATGAGATTAATAATGTTTATTATCACTTCTGCCTAGAAAACCTTTGACTACAAAGTCAGTCTCCTGTCTCATTAGACATTGCCAGATCTAAGATGGCCTGTTAAGTTGTTTTCTCCATATCTTATGCAAAGAGTCTGTCACACAGGCATGCTGTGAACTTGTCCTTGAGGCTACCTTTGCCAGTTTAATTTTTCAAAACCGCTGTGGTTCAGAAATCTATTCTTTGAATCAATAGAAAATCCTTCTACTCTGCACCCAAACTTGATAGTGCTCTATGGTAAGCTCAAGACACTTATCTTTTCTATGTTACCATAATTGTGCCATTGCATTGCCATAAATGACATAGCAACAGTCTCTCTAATTTTTCTTTGGTATGAAAATGAAAAATAAGATTTGTGTGCATTTTGCCCTGCATTTCTGTATTTTTAAATGGTTAAGTCCTGAATTTAACAATTCTCATTTAAATTTTTTTAATCCCTTTTTTACGTAGGTTGGCAATGCAATCAAAAATATGTTGCCTTTTGGTGCCCTAAAATCATCGAAAGATGCTCCACGATCAATTGAGGTAGAGATAACTCCGACGTCATCCAGAATTTCGAGGAATGCAGTCACTAGTTTATCAATTCGAGGACATCGATGGAAGAGGAATGGTAAGAAAGGGATGAGCATGATCAGAATGGATAAGGTTCCTTATTTCATACAAATTAAATTTGAAATTTTCATTTAAAAATGTGACTTCCAATTAACGTTTAATACTTTACCATGAACAAATTTTCCTCATGTAGGAAGGGCTCTTTATGATTTTACTTGGAAAGTAAGCATTTAATTTCCGATGCAAGGTACTGAATGAGCAGGTGGTTGTACAATAGTGGTAACATGACTGGACCAGTAACCCAGAGCCCCCAGCTAATGTTCTGGTGACATGGGTTTGAATGTTGTCATGGCAGATGATGAAATCTGAATTCATTTAAAAGATGGCCTAATGCAGCCATGTGCTCTCAATTAGCTTCAACACCCATCTGGTTCACTTGCGTCCTTCAGGAGATCTGCTATCATAACCTGATCCTGGTCTACATGTGACTCCAGAGCAATGTAGTTGACCTTGAAGTACCCTCTGGGTAATTGGGGATGAGCAATAAATGTTGGCGTAGCTAGTCACCTCCGCATTCCCTGAATCAACATTAAAAAAAATAGTGTGATGTAAAATGAAAGTGAATAAACCTGTTCCACACCAGGTACTTTCCAGAAATCTATTGCTCTAATTGATATGGGCATAGACCTGTGAATTGGCTGAGGAGATTCTGTTTCAAAGTGTGTAGCAGGAAGGTAAATGGGCCTCATGAGAATTATTTTCTCTTGATGCAGAAACACTTCCACTTACGATGATTTGTTTATCATGTATGTTTGGTTAAATGATTACTTGATTGGTCTGGAAACACTAAGCTTGAGTTTATAATTCCATCTTGGCACAGTTAAAGACCATCCGAGGACAAGATATGAAACTTCGGTTCCCCACTATATGGTGGACTTCTTAATACTCTGAGCATTAAGTAATTTCAGTGTTAACCATGTCCTAAACATAAATGTACAGAAACGTAGTATGGAATTTTCCATTCTGTGTAGAGCAGTGTGGGCATTCCTGTGAAATTTGGGAAAAACGGTGAGAATGATAAAATCAAATTCTTGACATCAAGTGAAAGGCTTCAATGCCTAGATGAGAATGTCACTTGTAAGTGACAAGAACCTATTTCCATGAATTTACACTGTTATTTGCTAATCTTATTTTATATGCAGTGCACAATTCTCTTGGTTAAGTTCCCAACTTAAGTCACCTGCTTCTTCAGGCCTCTCTCTACATGCTCGTTCACGAACGTCATGTGGCACGTTCCATAGACAGCCACTGTCTTTACTCTTTTGCTGATGGAATTCCGCATCGGCACAGCACAGTCCTCATTACGTTATGGCCCATCTCAGACTAACTCTTTTACTTCAGCACTTCACTTTGGAGCTCACCAGCACTTCAGTTCTGAAATGCTTCAACCAAGCTGCTCAATGTCCAGGAGTGGTCACCCATTTGTGCATTTGCTCAAGATGCATCTCCGGGCTCTCGGCTTGCTTTCTTAGCATTCAATCACTTTGCACTTGGACACCCCCAGCATTTCTGGCTTTCTGCTTGGGGTAGGTAGCTTCTTCTGTTTGCCAGCACTGAACAGTCAAGGCAAGGGACGTCTTGCTATAACAGCACAGTACTAGGTCAATGTCATACCTACTGATGTACCAGCAGCTTCCATGACAAAACGTTGCATGAGCTTAGCACAAATTGCTGTGGCAAAATGTTTTGGGGGAGTAGTCCTTCGTCAAGTGGATGAGAATTATGATCTGTTAAGGAGTGTGGCCCCACAAGTCATGGGCATTGTTTTGTCCCAGTCCAGGGTTGGTCATGGTCACTCAAGTCCTTGGTGTGATTGGGTCCAAGGATTCTTTCCTTTCCTGTCAAGGGATTTGGCTACAATCTGTCTGGCAAGTTAAACCTGACCCATCCAAGAAATACAGGTAAATTGGTCAGGAGCTGTAGAGATTGTCACTTCTTGGGCTGGGCCATGCTCTGCCAGGACTCCTCCACTCAATCTGCAGGTTGGGACCACGGTCAGCTGTGGGGATTTTGGCAGTAAATGTCAAGGGTGGGGTGTGGTTTATCTATGCTGTGCTGGGCAAAGTGGAAATTGGAGCCATAAGGCTGGAATAATGATTGTGAAGTAGGGACGCAAGTTCAAACGACAAGGTGGGATCAGATTTAGTATGGAAAGGTTTGAGTTACTGTGGAAGTGGGGTTTTCGTGTGACCCACTACTGGCTTCAATGGTGGGGGGAGAAGGGAGCAGTGGATAGTGATAGTGGGTATGGAAATTTGATAGGCCAGGGGCTATGGGGACATTTATCATTAAATAAAAGGGCTGAATTAGTCCTCAGACTTTTTTGTGTGAGAACGCCTTCTGTCTGGATGCCTGCAGGCCCACCCTGCCTCCTTGAGGGAAGAGACACCTGAAGTGAAGTTGAGGTCCCTTGTTGCTCTGTTGCCTTACTGCTGATGCTGGATAAAGTGATGGTGCTCTGCATGCATTTGTGATGGGCACTGAGCATTCTGCTGGATCTGGGTCCCTGTAGCAGCTACCTATCTGCATAGAGACATTCAAGCACCATGTTGGTGGTAACATTTGTGAACTCCTCCAATCTTAAATCGAGGTCTGCCAAGTCTGTGACATTGCATTTGGGCAAAGTTATTAAGGGCGATATGTTGTCAGGTGCTTGGTCTCCAGCAGTCCTCTGTTGCCAGCAACCTGGGGAATTTCCTCTTTGACCAGCTGCAGTGATATGTCTATGATGATGCTCACCAGATTGTGCTTCCTAGTCTAATCTCTAGAAACCGAATCCACTGAGGTAAGAGTCTGAACTGCTGAAGGGTGAAGGAGAAAAGCATTGCTTATTAATGCTTAGTGCGGTGACACCCTCTGAGGTGGAGAAGCTGCTGATGGGCTGAGAGACTGGTGCCTTAGTGTCAGAGGCTGTATGGATGCTGCTGGTGCCTGCAGAAGGGAACAGAGGGAATTTGTTGCACAACTGGGCCTAGAAACTTGAGCACGTTGTGTATATGTTCACCATGGTAAATGGGAGTGCATCACTGCTCAATGAAGCTTACTTCATTGCCTTGACTTTGGAGGTCTGCAACCTGCACATTGGGGGCTTTTGATCCTCTTCCACAATTTTAAGGATTTTTTCCCCAAGTAAGGGGTGATGGCATAAATGTCCGCCAGTCCTGATGTCAGTCTTTGCCCCATCAGCCCTATAGTGCAATGTTTTCTTTTAGCTAGAAGAGCTGTTTGTGATGGCGCAGGAGTGGGGCAGGTGAGGAAGTGCCTCCAGCGAGGTGAATAGGAAGTAGGCAGGATGGCTTAGTAGCTTGGGCAGATGATGTGCAAAAGTCATGAAAAGATGTTACATGTGTTAGTGAGAATGGTAAGCCACCCCTTTCAGTGGGAAGTGTGTGAAGTTTGAGGATTTGAGTGAAGTATGGAGAGAATATGGTGGTACTTACCCCTTGCAGAGTGCAAAAGGTCATTGATCTTACAGCATGGCTGTTTGGGGATACTGCTCTGATCCATGTGGCTATTGGTTCAACATTGGCAGCATTTGGTGCTGTGGTCCCCTTTCGTGAGGAAAGAAGATTGCCCTCTTCTTACAATATCTACCAGGATCTCCTCCATGGCTGAAACAGGATTGCCAACACCACCTTTTGGAATACTGGTCAAACTGCAAACTTTGGCAGTTTCTTGTTGTACATGATTTAATGTGGTGTACAGCTGGTGTTTAAATGTAGCATCCGTTGTGTGAATGCTAGGAGGCCCTGGCCAGGGAGAGCAATGCTGCAAGGAAAAGGATTTGTGTACCCAGGATTAATATTTAATAAGGTGAGCAGCAAAAGATTGCGTAAGAAGTTGCCATGGCCCTTAGAAGGAACCCCTTGTTGAAACTTGCCAAAAATGATACTTGGTCCAAAGTAAGGGAAAGTATGGCCCATAAACTCTGCACAAGGAACTTGTGCAATTAAAATGTTTCCTTTTCTTTATTTCAAAAATAAAGCCATCTAATTTACTTGCTCTGATCATCTAATGCCAACACCTATGATTTTGCAGTAACAAAATCAATATAGAAAAGAACTTCAGTCCTTTCATTTTGCTGGGTGAATTTAACCTTTTTTAGGTGTACTACAAGATATTGAATTCAGTAAAACATCTGCTATATTTATGGTAACAAAGTTTAAATGTGTGTAGTTGACTGGTGAAAGCTGCATTCCCTAGCAGCAAACTGGGGGAAGTGGCAAATGATGGTCAGCAGGTCAGTTGGTTATCCATTCTGTTGAGATTGAATGATGGATGGAGAAACAGCGAGAAGTCTTATTGTGAAGTATGGCAATCTGAATTTTGACTTGTTTTCACTCTCGTGCCTCTTTTATTTTCCAAAAGAAAGGCATTACCACTGTTATTGTCTTGGTAATTACATTAATACTGTTTACTGAATATACCCCCAAGAATTTAGTGGTCTATTTAAGTTGTTAGGAAGTGCGCTGCAATTTTAACTTGGCTTCTGTGCATATCGTTTGCTTATTCTGTTGCCCAATAGTGCAGGTGAATTGTTTTAACCAGCTGTGTCTTCTCCTGATAACCCTAATTGAAATATCTGCCATGACAGTAGGAAGAATTGTGGAACAAGGAAAATGTCAAATGCTCATGCATGTGCCTCAGGATTGCAACTAGGACCTGTTTTCCTGCCGCAAATATATAGTCACCCACTATTTTATCCAACGCCTCATTTAATTTACACTGATTTCTAGCTCTGAACCTAATTCTTTTTGGGTGATAAAGATGGAAGATTTTTGAACCTCAATCTTGCATTGAATAAATCATTTTATTTTGGCAAGTTTTTCAGTACATTTTGGTGATTGGTATTGTCTGGATATTTAGGAAAGGTGAACAAATTGGAAGTTAGAAGTTATAGGGCTCTTAGTATAATAGTAACTAACATTATACCGTTAATATGATAAAACTCTGGTCCAGACTGAATTGCATCTGTTTATATTAAGTTAGGTTAAGAAA